AGGAGTGGCTGGTGGGTTTGAACCGCCAGCCTTCTGGTGAGCAGTCAAGTGCCTTAGGCACTATGCTACCAGAGCTATATCTGGTAAAAAGGACTTGTGTCTAGAATAAAGAACTCTTACTATTCAACATAAAAGGACAAATAACCCAATTTAAAAATAGGTAAAAGATCTGAACAGACATTTTCCCAAAGAAAATATAAAAATGTCCAATAAACACATGAAAATATGCTCAACATCATTAGTCATCAGAGAAATGCAAATAAAAACCACAATGAAATACTTCACCTCAGCAGGACGGCTAGAATCAAAACCATAATAACAACCGTTGGAGAGGATGCAAATGAATTGGAACACCCATACACTGCTGGTGGGAATGTAAATTGGTGCAGCCACTTTGGAACACAGTCTGCAGTTGCTCAAATGGTTAAACATTGTTCCTATAAAACAAAACAAAAAAACTCACTGCCATCAAATCAATTCCAACTCATAGCTACCCTATAGGACAGGGTAGAACAAGCCCATATGCTTTCCAAAGCTGCAAATCTTTACAGAAGCAAACTACCACATCTTTCTCCCACAGAGCCTCTGGTAGGTTTGAACTATTGACCTTTTGCTTAACAGCTAAGTGCTGTAACCACTGCGACACAAGGGCTCCATAGAGTTACTATATGACCCAGTAATCCCATTCCTAGGTATATATCCAAGAGAAATGAAAATACACTTCCACTCAAACACTTGCAAATGAATGTTTTCAGCAGTATTATAATATCTGAAAGGTGGAAACAACCCAAATGGGTAGATAAAATATGGTATACCCACACAATAGAGTATGTTCTGGTTACTTAGTGCCACTCTGACAAGAAAACACTGCAAATGAGATGGCCTTAACAAACAGGAGTTTATTCTTACAATTTGGAGGCTTTTAGTCCAAATTCAAAGTGCCAGGCTCTAGGGGCTGGGTGAAAGCCCCTCAACCTTGAGATCCAGCTCTGCCTCCTGCTCCCGGCCACTGGAGCTAGAGGCATTTCTTCACTCAGACAGCTGCTGGCTGCTGAGGCTGAGAAGGCCCAAGCTTGACAAGTAAAAAGGCACAGTCCCGATATTACCAATCCACACGGCAGGCCATTAACTTAAGTTCATTGTAAGTCTCAAGGTCGGCAGAGCATAGCAGGCTACTGAGCAATGACACAGCTACATGCAGGGTCCAAACACGCCATAGGCTAGAGACCATTCTCAAAGCTTCTCCTTATATACAGGAAGCAGACACACACCCAAAGGCAGCTACTCAGCTGCTCCCAGTAGATTTCACCATGGAGTTGATTATCAGTCTCATCATGGGGAATACTACATCCAGCTGCCTAGCCACTCAACCAGGCCTAGCCAAGCTGACTTACAAACATAACCATCACAGAGTATTATTTGGCCACAAAAAGGAATGAAGTGTTGATAACACACTACAATATGGATGAACCTTGAAAACATTATGCTGAGTGAAATAAGCCAGTCACAAAAGACAACATATTATATAATTCCATTGATATGAAATGTGTAGAACAAGCAAACACCTAAAGTGAGAAAGTAGATTAGTTGTTGCTCAAAGATGGAGGTGGTAGAGGTGTGGGGGTGTTAGTTAAAGGGTATGAGTTTCTTTTTGAAGTATAACAATGTTCTAAATGTGTAATAGTTGCACATACCTGCACATATACTAAACACCATTGAATTGTACAACTTAAAAGGGAGAATTGTATGGTTAATTATATCTCAATAAGGCCGTTAAAAGAAAGAAAAAGAGTAGGACAGACTTCCCAAAGGACAGACTTTTCAACAAATGCAAATATTTGTGTCTAATGAGGGAAGTCTATTTGGCACATCTAAGAAGGCTTCTGAAAAGTCCACAAGCAAAAGTCTTATGGCATCCCTTGTCCACTAGGCAACTCTCCCTTCTACTGGTATTTCCTGTTCTTCATAACATTCATACATATACAGGATATTTTAAAATGGCCTAACACTTTCAAAAATGTATTATTCAAAAATTTATTCTTTGGTGAGGATGTGCCAAAAAAAAAAAAACTCACTGCCTTGGAGTCAATCCTGACTCATAGTGACCCGTTTTGGGTTTCTGAGGCAATATCACTATGAACATAGATTACCCAAACTTCCTTCTGAGGAGTGGCTGGTGGGTTTGAACCGCCAGCTTTCTGGTTAGCAGTCAAATGCTATAGGCACTATGCTACCAGAGCTCCTAGAGGATATGCCAAGAACCTCAAATTTGCACCACATCTCCTCTAAGGCTGAATTTCAAGTATCTCTGATGATATGGAGGGCCTGAGTACATTAGACAACCAAATTGATATGTGCTATACAATATGAAAGGGGCATACGGAGCATTTGTTAACATTGAATAACTGCATTGTTTCTTTAGAATTTATAAATTTTAATTACATGTTCATATATAACCTACTTACTGACCAAAAAAATAATTTGTAAAGTATTCTTTTAATCACCCTGTTTATATATGTATTCAATCTGACAGCAACTAACAGCAATAATACATGTATTTATTTATTTATTTATGTTTTAAGTTGATGTTAGAGGTGGAGCTGAAGCCCAGGGTCAAGGAGCTTTCACCAAGCCCCTACAACCTGGCACTTTGAACTTGGACTTCTAGCATCCTAAATTGTAAGAGAATAACAAATTAATTAGTTAATAACAAATTCAACCTGTAGGTGAAACACAAATGTACAATGGACTTAATTATTTCTGAATAAGCAAGGGGGTGGATGGGAGAGTTGAAGAGAGAGGTAGATATATACACACATTCACACATTGAAACACTTTATTTTTCTTTCATCAGACTAACCATCTCCTAAAGCCATGGGAAATCACAGTGCTTTGGTATCTGGAGAGAGGAGAATGCAAAGGTATATCTGCAAGTTTTGTTTCTGGTGGGACTTTCCCCAAAACAGCCTTACGATCTTCCCCATGGCAAAGCCTTTCACTGTGATTCAGAAACAGAGAGTCTTCCAAAGGGCCAGTGTCAATCCCGCACGCTTTTGCATGCTAAAAGAGAGAGAGAGAGAGAAAAAAAACTTCTGTTGTATAGCACATCAGACATCACTTTCTTGATAGGTTAAAGTGGGAGGTTTTCTACCCATTCCTGTTTAGAAGGAAGGTCTAGTAGACAGAACAATACCCCCTTTTCAAAGCTGATGCTCTGTTGCCTGTGCTACCCAACTTCAGGAAGATAAACTTGGAGTCAGATTGTGGAACTCTAGCTGTACAATTTATCATAGGGCCTTGTACAAGTCATTTACCCTCAAGAGATTCAGTTTGCTTGAATATAAAATATGAATAATAAAGGATTCCTTGAAGATTGAATAAAGCATGTGAATTTAAAAAAGTTTTTGTTAACTATTAAGTATTAAATAGTATTAAAACTATTACTTATTAAATATGATGTTATTACAGCTGCTGCTGGATAAATAATAGCTCAGAAACCCAAGGAGAGGTAGCTAAGAGTTGGGTCCGACTCAAAAGCACATAACAACAACAACAACAATATTTGAGGTTACTGACTGAAGCATATATTTATTTCTGGTCTTGGGTGCAGATTTACGCTGTGTTTTCACATATAGTTATGACACCTCCCACAAGAAAAATGGTGAAGGGAAAGAGAAAGAAAAACATTTACTCAATGTGCTCACTTTGTTTGATTGTTTAATTCTCGTGATATCTCTGTAAGGTAGAATGTTCTATATGCCAGTCATTAATTTTGTATATGTATATACTTTTTATTGTGATTTGAAAGAAAGTTTACAAAGCAAATTGGTTTTCCACTCAATAATTTGTGCACATTGTTTCCTGATATTGAATGCATTCTCTGCAATGTAACAGCACTCTTCCCACTTCCTCCTTGTGTTTTCCATTTTCATTCATCCCTCATATCCCTTCCTGCCTTCCTAAGCTTTATCCCTGGGCAAGCACTGCCCTTTTGATCTCAAATGGTTGATTGTTTTAAGGAGTGTGTACCTCACTAGTATTTTTGTTCACCTTCTAGACCTGTCTATTGTTTGGTTGAAAGTTGAGTCACGGAGGTGAGTGCAGTTCCAGGTCTGGATGGTGACTAAAGGTCACAGTCTCAGGAGTTCCACCAGTCTCTATCAGACCAGTAAGCCTTATCTTATTGAGTTTTGTTCCACGATTTTCGCCTACTCTACCCAGGACTTCCTGTTGTGATTCCTTTCAGGGCAGTTGGGTAACATCTAGTTCTGATCTCAACGGTGAGGAGGCTGAAGCTTGAATGGTCCTTTAGTCCATTGGAATATTTGTTGTTAACTTGCATCTTTGATTTTCTCCACTCTTCTTTGCTTCAGACAGGAGGAGACCAACAGTTACACCTTAGATGACTGTTCAAATTGTATGCATTTTAATAGCAAACTTACAGGAACAGCACAGATGACAAACAACATTAAAAACATGTAGTTCCAATTAGAACAACCAGAAAAGCATAGTGAATGGATGGAACCTACTCTATGATAAGAATGCTGCACCACCTAGTTGCTGTCAATGAGAAATCTTTTTTTTTTAATCCAAATGTTGCCATTGTCTAGAAAAATTTAACAGTTTTTTAAATTTATAATTGCTATAAAATGGAATTGCTGAAACTTGTTCACTGAAAGATTTTGATTTACATTAATGTTTTTATGTCCCTATATTTATATTAAAAATTAACACAAAAATGAAAATAGGAAAACTGCCAATATCTAATTTCTGTCCCATTTTCCATTCACAATCATACACTTAGATGTCTTTTGACTGCATGAAAAAAAAAAATCTAACATTCAGTACTACCAATAAAGGATGAATTTTCATTTTTTTAAAGAATGAAATGCTCCCCATCATAGTGGATTCTTAAGCACATTTCCTACCTATGTGGCAAGCTAACTGGATGTCTTTTGGTATAATTGTTACATATTGGACATGGTTAACACACAGATTATTGTTTTAAAAAGGCCAGTCAGATAGGCCTCACTTGCCTCCTGCAAAGTACCCATAACTATACTTTGCAAATGCAGATCTGTTTTGAAGTCCTGAGCAATTTCTCACACCACATGCTAGAAGGGAAGTGAATTAGATCTCTGAAAATGTCTAATTTTATAGAGTGAAACAGTACCAGGCTTGTAATGATGAGGTTCTTTCAGCCCTCCAGTAGAGGGCATCCTCTTGTGGGTGGCTTTTGTAGCCATTTTCCTCCTGAGTGCTTTACCACCACTTAATTTACAGGCAGTTGGCTTTTTACAAGCCATGGTATAGAGATCTCCTCACTAACTCCCCATCCTCTTTGCCTGGAGCTCAGAGAGCTAGAGATGTCCCTAATGTCATATCATATATTAAAAAAATTAGGAACATAAATGGTGGCTATACACGGGGACCTCACCAGATAGAATACACAGGACAAACTGACTATATCTGTGGAAAGAGACAATGGAGAAGCTCAATGTCTTCAGCCAAAGCAAGGCCAGGAGCTGACTATGAAACAGGCCATCAATTGCTCATATCCAAGTTCAAGTTGAAGCTGAAGGCAATTAAAACAAATCCATGAGAGCCAAAACATGACCTTGATTATATCCACCTGAATTTAGAGATCATCTGAAGCATAGATACTATGCATTGAACACCAGTGAACAAAAACCAACAAATTGTGGGTATTTCAAGAATACCGTAAATGAAGAATGCAAATAGTTATTAGAAAGACAGGAAAGGAAAAGAAGACCAAAATGGACTTCAGAAGAGACTCTGAAACTTGCTCTTGAATGGAGAGTAGCTAAAGCAAATGGAAGAAATGACAAGATGAAAGAGCTGAACAGTAGATTTTGAAGAGCAGTTCTAGAAGACAAAGTCAATTATTATAATGAAATGTGCAAAGACCTGGAGTTAGAAAACCAAAAGGGAAGAACACTTTTGGCATTTCTCAAGCTGAAAGAACTGAAGAAAAAAATCAAGGCTTGAATGGAAACACTGAAAGATTCTGTGGGCAAAATACTGAATGATGCAAGAAACATCAAAAGAAGACGGAAGGAATACAGATCACTGTACAAAAATGAATTGGTCGATGTTCATCTATTTCAGAAGGTGGCATATGGTCAAGAACTAACGTTATTGAAGAAAGCAGTCGAAGCTGCACTGAAGGAATTGGTGGAAAAAAAAAAAAAAGGCTCAAGGAATTGACAGAATACCCACTGAGATGTTAAAACAAATAGATGCCTCACTGGAGGCACTTACTTGTCTGTACCAAGAAATCTGGAAGACAGCTACCTGGCCAACTGACTGGAAGAGATTGGTATTTGTGCTCATTTCAAAGAAAGGTGATCCCATAGAATGTGGATATTAATGAACAATATCATTAGCATCATACACAAGTTAAATTTTGCTGAAGATAATTCAAAAACTGGTGAAGCAGTATATTGACAGGGAACTTCCAGAAATGCAAGCTGGATTCAGAAGAGGGCATGGAATAAGGAATATCATTACTGATGTCAAATGGAGCAAAGAATACCAGAAAGATATTTCCTTGTGTTTTATTGACTATACAAAAGTATCTGACTGTGTGGATCATAACAAATTATGGATAACATTGAGAAGAACTGGAATTCCAAAATACTTAATTGTATTCATGAGGAACTTATATATATAGACCAGAAGGCTGTCATTTGAACACAACAAGGGCATACTGCATGGTTTAAAATCAGGAAGGATGTGCGTCAGGATTACGTGCTTTCACCATACATATTCACTCTGTGTGCTGAGCAACTAATCCACAAAACTGGAGTACACGGCTTCAGGATTGGAAAAAGACTCATTAACAACCTGAGATATGCAGACAACACAACCTTGCTTGCTGAAAGTGAAGATGACTTGAAACACTTACTGATGAAGATTAAAGACCATAGTCTGCAGTGTGGATTACAACTCAATATAAAGAAGATGAAAATCCTCACAACTGGACCAATAAGCAACATCACAATAAATGGAGAAAAGATTGAAGTTGTCAAGATTTCATATTACTTGGTTCCACAACCAACACCAATGGAAGCAGCAGTCAAGGAATCAGGTGACTTATTGCACTGGGCAAATCTGCTGCAAAAGACCTCTTTAAAGTGCTGCAGAACAAAGATGTCTCTTGAAGACTAAGCCATGCCATGGTGTTTTCAATCACCTCATATGCATGTGAAAGCTGGACAATAAATAAGGAAGACTGAAAAAGAGTATATGTTTTTGAGTTGTAGCGCTGAGAAGAATATTGAAAGTACCATGGACTGCCAGAAGAATGAACAAATCTGTCCTGCAAAAAGTACAGCTGAAATACTCCTTAGAAGCAAGAATGGCCAGACTTCATTTCACATACTTTAGTCATGTTGTCAGAAGGGACCGTTCCCTGGAGAAGGATATCATGCTTGGTAAAGTGGAGGGTCAGCAAAAAATGGGAAAGACCCTAAAGAAGATGGATTGACAAAGTGGCTGCAATAATGGGCCCAGGTATAGCAAGGATTGTGAGGATAGTGTACGATCAGGCATTGTTTTGTTCTGTTGGACATAGGGTCACTATGAGTCAGAGCCAACTTGACAGCACCTAACAACAACAACATGGTAGTTCCATTTTTAGTTTTGTGAGGAACTACCTACCACACTGTTTTCCACAATGGCTGTACGATTTTGCATTCCCACCTGCACTGGATAAGGATTCCAGTTTCCCTAAATCCTTGCCAATATATATACATATAGATTTATCTTAGCCATCCTAGTGGGAGTAAAATGAGCGTATTCTTATTCAGTATTGTTTAACCATTTGAAATTTGTAAATCAGTTATACAAGCACATTTCTTACTAAGCATCATAACTTGAAATCTTTTTTTTTATTTTCCAATGTTGCTTCATGCATATTCCTAACTTCAATGATCACAAACTGCACAAAAGAATGCTCTAAAGAGCCTCATTCATCCGAGACTATAGCCCTGAGATAATATTTAAACCTTAAACCAAATATACCCCCTGAAGTCATCTTAAAACCAAACAATAGTTTAGCTTAACTATTAAAAATGTCTGTCTTGAGTATTATGCTTTTTTTAGAATTATCTATATGGGATCAAATTGACAAGAGTAACTCAAAAGATTAGATAGCAACCCCAGAAGACAGTAAGTTTATCTTAGTAAGAATGGAACAATTTAGAAAAGGAAGGTGAGAATGGCTGCACAATTTGAAGAATGTAATCAGTGTCACTAAATTGCACATGTAGAAACTATTGAATTGGTCTGTTTTCCTGTGTATGTTCTCAACAACAACAAAATAAATAAAATTTAGGAAAAAATAAAAAATATATATTAAAAAAAATCTTGACTCCATATCCCAAAAAACAATTCTGAGTAGAGGAATGGTCTATGTTTACTGACATAACAAGAAAAGGAGAGAAAAATACTGTATAAAAGCATTCAAATTATTAAGAAGTCTGGATTCCATGGAAATTTGAACTTCTGTTGTTTCCCACTTTTCATCAAGAATCTTCTATAGAATCAAGATATTCAGTAGGTAGCCAGGCCTGGCACCATCCAGTTCTTCTGCTCTCAAGGCAAAGGAGTAATTGTTTTGACTATGTTGATTGGAGGCAATCAGCCACACATTCCATGTCCTTCTCCTATGCTTGACTCTCCTGCTGCTGCTGCTCCAGGCAAATAGAGACCACATGTTGTACCTGGATGGCCACTTGCAAGCTTTTAAGACCCCAGGCACTAAGCAGCGAACTTGTTTGTGGTATGATATTTTCTACTCAGCTGTATGTCTATTCCAGGAATCTGCTGTGATCCCCACGCTAGGAACTGGCTCACCTAGGGCCACTTGGAAGTGCCAGACAGTATCCTGCACCACTGTCTTTGAGTAGAAGACACAGGTACCAATCGGCTGCATACTGGAACCCACTGAGTGATGCTTGTTTGGTTCCTAAGGACTCTCACCAGCAACATCATATTCTTCAACCCATAACTTGGAATCTCTTATAGTCTGATTATTTCTATATCTTATAATTACCTTTAAATAAACATTTAACCTTTTCTTGAAAAAGGTGAATCTGAATTTGGAGAATGTTTTGAAACTGACTAAGAGTGCTGAATGGGCAATGAATCCTATCTGTAAATCTAACCATGGTTCCCATGCCTCTCTAATTACACAGGCAGTACAAGTTTAAAAATGCACGCTCTGTTCTGTAGATTTAATTTTCATGGTGCCTGCTTCTGATTGAGCTGTTTACCAACATTCGGTGTAAGTTGGCATGATGTAGAGAAAAAGGTGACCTATAGTTCTGAAAACCTTTGGAAATTTATTTTAAGTTTATAATTTGGTTATTTGGATATGACAGTGCTATTTAACTTTTGCTTGAAAGTAAATCAAAATAGCTTCTGTATATTTATGTCTATTTATAGATACATTAAATGGTATAGGCTTTTTCTTGAATATTTATGGTAACATACCTTCATATTCATATTCCTGAATTTCATGTTTTCCTTCCAAGGCATAACATAACGACTTGGAATTATCCCTTGTTTTAAGGAAAATTGCGGCAAATGAACATCGATAAACCTGAAGATGAGGAAAGTAGTAAGAAAGTTTATCTTGTGAGCAGAATAAAATTGTTTTAGTATTGTTCTAGGGAATGGAGGCAGTTTTGTTGTGTCCCTGATGTTTGGGTTCCACTGAAGCTATAGGACAGAGTACTGTGCCAGCATTTGAAGCTTTCCTGATAGAAAATCAACCCAGTAAATCCCAGGTATAACAAGATCAAGATCAAGGGCTGGGTACCTCCAACTATATGCTGTCCTTTACAATTTGCCCACAATGTTTATTTCAACCTTATTTTAAGGGAGGAAGCAGCGTATCACACTGTGGGTAAGGCCTACATTTGCCTAAAGTGATCTCTGGCTGTAAAACAAGAAAAAAAAAAAGAAAAAGAAAAATTGGTAATGGAATTCAGTATATGCTGCACACTCAGGTCACACTTGCTTTCCTTAGTCACTTAAGCTTCCCTCTGGAATGTAATCTTACCATATGGGATGCCAAGGGGAAGTACAAAATTTATTGTACTTATCTGGTAAGTTCCCAGATTGCAAAAAACCCAGAACCCTTAAATCCTTAAACTTATTTAAAATCCTCACTTATAAGGCTTCTTATATGAACTCTCAACAGAGCTGCTGTTCTTGAGTTTAGGTAAAGATGGACAAGTGTCTTTTCCTGAAGGCATAACTGCAGCAATGACAGAATTCTCATCTAGAACTTCTAATTATGACACTACTGTCTCTAATGGAATGTTTTGCTAACTTCATAGCAACCCTTAGCAGTTAAAATGCCAAGCTCAAAGTTATTTTCAGTGGTTTTGTTTTCTCTCTTCTAGAGTAGCTCATCATTCTTATGAACAATTTTTCACTGGGGATAGTTGCAGGTGTATTACAAATGTGATGTAAATGTACTAGAAAGTATGTTGGCTAAATAATTATTGTTGTTGTTATTGTTTTGTGCCTTCGAGTCGGACCTGACTCATAGCAACCCTCCTTGGGTTTCTGAAGCAATTGTTACCCACAAATAATTGTTTCATATTAACAATCCCTATTTGTCATTGGCTATAATTTTCCTTTTTTATACACTGCACATGGTTGATATGTGCCCTTTGTTTCCCTTTTCTATTAGTTAGATAGACACTTGAAGAATGTAAATCAAATCTACTGAAACCCAAACAATCCAACCTTTTACTAATATGGGTTATATTGCAGAAAATTTAGATAATAATTCATTTCAGTAAGGAAAGATTAAGAGTGAGAATGCGCACTTAAGTCACTAAAACAGGTGGAGGATTTATCAGGGTAAATCCCACTAGCTAGCTAGTAGGGAAAATGTTAGGTTGAGCAGGAAGAATTACTGTGAGACATGCTGTTTTGATCTACTATACTGAGAATAACAAATTGAAGAGGAATGGTGTGGCATTCATCATCATTAAGAACGTTTCAGGGTCTATCCTGAAGTATAATGCTGTCAGTGATAGGATAATATCCATATGCCTACAAGGAAGACCAGTTAATACCACTATTATTCAAACTTATGCACCAGCCACCAAAGAGGAGGAAATTGAAGATTTTTACCAACCTCTGCAGTCTGAAATAAACCAAACATGTAATTAAGATGTATGGATTATTACTGGTGATTGGAATGTGAACATTAGAAACAGAGAAGAATCACTCATAGTTGGAAAATATGGCCTTGGTGATAGAAATGACGCAGGATAGTGCATGATAGAATTTTGCAAGACCAATGACTTATACATTGCAAATAGTTTTTTTTTTTTTTTTTAACATAAATGGCCTCTATACATGTGGACCTCACCAGATAGAATACACAGGAATCAAATCAACTGCATTTGTGGAAATAGGTGATGGAGAAACTCAATATCTTCAGCCAAGACAAGGTCATTAGCTGACTTTGGAACAGGCCATCAACTGCTCATATGCAAGTTCAAGTTGAAGCTAAAGACAATTAAAACAAGTCCACAAGGGACACAATATGACCTTGATTATATCTCACCTGAATTTAGAGATCATCTGAAGAACAGATTTGATACATTGAACACTGACCAAAAACTAGACAAATTGTGGAATGATATCAAGAACATCATACATGAAGAAAGCAAAAGGTCATTAAAAAGACAGGAAAGGAAGACCAAAATAGATGTCAAAAAAACTCTGAAATTTTCTCTTGAATGTAGAGCGGCTAAAGCAAATGAATGAAATGACAAGATAAAAAAGCTGAACAAAAGATTTCAAAGTGCAGCTTGAGAAGACAAAATCAGTTACAACAAAATGTGCAAAAACCTGGAGTTAGAAAACCAAAAGGGAAGAGCACACTCAGCATTTCTCAAGCTGAAAGAACTGAAGAAAAAATTCAAGCTTTGAGTTGCAATATTGAAAGATTCCATGGGGAAAATATTGATTGATGCAGGAAACATCAAAAGAAGATGGAAGCTGAAAAGAAATAAGGAAATCAATACCGTTCTCAATAGCTACCAAAAGAGCTCCTAAAAAAATAAAATAAAATATTATAAAATACTTGGGAATAAATCTTACCAGAGACACAAAAGACCTCTACAAAGAAAACTATAAAAAGCTACTTCAAGAAACCATAA